GTGCTGGAGACACCCTTCTGGGGCAAGACTTGCTTCAGTGGGGCTTTGGTGCTCACTGAGTCTGCCCCCTGAGTGTGTCCGTTATGGATCTGAGGAGTTGTAATCTGGATGGTCCCACTCTGACCACTGGGTACACTGGCTCTTGGATCTCTAAGGAGGTCCTAATCTAGCCTCTGCCTGAGACTACCCAGCAGGATCTCAGCTGTGAAGCAATGAGAGTTGCCTTGGGGCCTTGGGCTAGCTGAAGTTTGTTAGGTAATTTTCAGATTGCAAAGGGCCAGGCCTTTCATATGCAAAAGCCGACGCACACAGCTTGGGTGGGGCGGGGGTCCCAGGGGATCAACAGGGCGGAGAAAGCAGCTATGGCTGTCCTCAGAGGCCTCACTTCTCAGTGTCCTGGCAATCACTGCAAGCACCTCTGAGAGAAAGCTGCCCTCGAGTTCCGACCAATGCCAGACAGTCCAGTTTCTCCCGTATGAGTCTGGGTCCCCAGAGACTCGCCCGCCAACCCTCTCCGCGTGCGCCTCTGTACCTCTGTATTTTACTTCTGCACTGCACCTCCTCTGAGTCTCGGTATGCTTTTCTCTTTCCTTCTAGTTGTAGAATTTCCACTCAGCCAGCCTTCCTGTGGTTCTGGATGATGTCCATTTTGTCTTTTAGTTGTATTATTGAAGTGGTTGTGCGAGGCAGCAATTTCAGGTGTTTACCTATGCCGCCATCTTGGTTTCTTCCAGTGATTCACTTCTTATTACTGTGCTGCAGGAGTTCTTTATTCTGAATGCAAGGCCTTTGTTAGGTACATTTACTGCTAGTGTTTTCTCGGAGTTTGAAGTTTGTGTTTCCATGTTATCTTTTGAAGAACATCACTAATGTTGATTGAAGTCCAATTATAATTTTTCTATGATTAGTGCTTTTTGTGTGCTAAGGAATTTTGCCTTTTTTTAAATTTATCTTTATTGTTGAAAGTATTACAGATGCCCCCCCCCCCACCCTACTGACCCCCTCCACCCAGCTCCCTTCCCCTTCCCAGGCCTTCCCCGCACTATTGTCTGTCCATGGACTATGCACCTATGCCTAGAAGCTCATCGGTCAGTCTCTTCCGCCCTGGAAGTTTCATAGCATTAGCTGTGCGATGCATCCCAAGTGCCCTCCCATCTGGTGTGCAGCATGCGGAGACCCACACAGATGCCCCCTGACTGACACTCCCTTTCCCCATGGAACGGCCTTGGTCACAATGTCAGAAATCTGTGTGGCGGGGATTCTCTCTCCCTGTGCTGCTGGCCTCCCTCAGAGGAGCTGAGTTCAGGTTGACTTCAGAGAGCGTGTCCCTCTTACCCACACGGCCTTCCCTCCCAGGGGCCCAGGTGGACCAGTCCGTGTTTGAGGAGCTCATCCAGGAGCAGCTGCCGGAGCTGGCGGAGCGCCTGCACGACCCCTCGGCCCTGGCGTCCCTGTCGCTCTCCTG